CCTCCGATGCTGAACTCCAAGGTTAGATTCCTCTCTCTCTCTCTCTCTCTCTCTCTCTCTCTCTCTCTCTCTCGTGCACACGAGCGGGTTAGCGCAGTTTTCTTTTTTTGAAGGGTCTCAATGGCCACGGATCGCATATGCCACTCATCGGAGCAGGTACTACACTTGATTGTGTGGGGTTGATCGTGTGGGGGGAGGGGCCGCGTAATTAGTTAGATTGGGGTCTCTCTCTCTCTCTCTCTCTCTCTCTCTCTCTCTCTCTCTCCCCCCCTCTCCCTCCCTCTCTCTCTCGCTCATGCGAACGAGCGGGTTAGCGCAGGTTTTTTTTTTTGAAGGGTCTCGATGACCACGGATCGCATATGGAACTCGATTGTGTGGGGTAAGGGGGGCCGTGGGTTAGCTAGATAGGCGGAGGGGAGCGTGCACAGAATGAGGGGAGAAAATGTGGAGGGGGGAGAATGACAGAGGAGTACGTGCAAGGGAGCAGAAGGGGGGGGGGAGGAGAAGCGAGGGAGAAGCGGAGGAGTAGGGACGGAAGGGTGGAGTTTCCCGTCTGCACACGCACGCGCGTTTTTCTTTTTTTTATAATAAAAAAAGGTCTCCATGGACCACAAATCAGATTTGGAGCTGAGTGAAGCAGATGCTGCACGTAATTTGTCGGGGTTGGGGGGGGGGGGGGGGGGGGGGGGGTGTTTTTGGGGGGGGGGGAGAAAAAGTGGTGGGGGGGGGGGGGGGGGGGGGGGGGGGGGGTGGGGGGGGGGGGGGGGGGGGGGGGGGGGGGGGGCGTAGCTAGTTTGATTGGCCTCTCTCTCTCTCTCTCTCTCTCTCTCTCTCTCTCTCTCTCTCTTGCTCGCTCTCACGCGGGCAGCTTTTTTTTAATTTTTCCACGGACCACGAATCATATATGGAACTGATCGGAGCAGATACTGCACTTTATCATGTGCGCGGGAGGTGGCACATCTCTCATTCTCGCGCGCGCGCACACGTTAGCTTTTCTTTTGTAAGGGTCTTGACGCCCAAGGATCACATATGGAAGCTGCAGGAGTGGGAGTGGAGAGAGAGAGAGGTGAGCAGAGCGCTTGCGGGGGGGAAAGCGCAGACGGAAGGAGGGGGCACAGGGGCGGGCGGAGGGGAGCAGCAGGAGAAAGTGCGGGTGGAGAGGAGCGCCCTTGCACTGACGCTGGAGGAGTGGATCAGCGCCGGGCAATGGGCGCTTCGCAAGAACGACGAATGACAAAACAGTCGTGCTGCGTTCCGTTGTTTCAACGGGAAAGTGCACCGTTCTCCGTTCGGACTACCCGTTGAAAAGGGGAGGCTGGGCCGTTGGGCCCTACCGGGTCAACACCCAGGGTCTTTTTTTTTTTTTTGTCTCGACGGCCATGGTCGACGCAGTCCTCAGATCAGAACACCTCGCCGATCCAGGTCCTCGGTCTGGTAGGACCTGACGGCCCAGATTGCAGATTTGTTACATTCTTTTGACGATCGCATCCATCCAGGCCGTCGGTCCGGTAGGGCCCAACAGCCCAATCCCAGATTTGTTAGTCTTTCACACTAGCGATTTTAATAGTGTAGGGAAGGCTTCATGCAGTCCATCAACTCACTGCAGCTCACTGAGGAGGAGATAGTACACAATGTGGGTGCTGCCTCGAGACACCCTATACCACTCTGCTCCAAGCAACCTCTTAAGCCACTGAAGCCTTCACTGCCCGCCAAGCTTTTTACTGAACCAGCAGCGGTGCATTTCTTTTCGTCTTTGGCTGGCGCCACCAGTGATTGTGATCCTGTAGCCCCTAGCCTCCAAAATTTTCGTAGGCAATGAAAGATTTTTCCACAAGGCTGGGATCGGTGGTATAACAGTTGATGCCTGTTTTGGTTATAGGGTAGGGTAAGGTGAGTGTACTAGATGGGCAGACACTGCAGCAGCGTTCTGTGTTCACCTCAGCGCTCTGCAATATTCATGCTGTGTGAGAAATGGGGCACTACGATTGCACATTCAAGTTTTAGTTTTTTTCCTTGTGTGCTTAGGAAGTCTAGTCTGAGAAGCGGGATCTTGATGTGTCCGGTCTGCTTCTCTGTCCCTCTTAAGTCTTTTGTGTGCTTGCACTGATGTATGTCCTTTTATGTAATTGTGACAATTCTTTACCTCTCCTGACTCTCCATAGTTTTCTGACATTAGCTGATTGTGACTTGAAAGGCTTTCATGTCGCACAGCTGTCCCAGAGTTCCAGCTGAGCCCTGACTCAGATGGTCCCAGGCCCACTAGGTCCCAATAGGTCGTGTCCCAGGGTCGATAGGGTCTGAAGTGTTGTGGGTCGGTATAAATCCACCGGCAAGTCCAATTCTGCAGCAGCGTCCCAAGAAAGTCCAGAAACTTTGGTACCGGCAATCCATGCAGCAGAAAGGCCGCGGCCGACCGGTCCCGGTCCTAAGCAGGCAAGACAGTGCCAAGGGCACTTCAGGTGTTCATTCGCAAGTTGCAGAAGTGCTGCTGGTTGCTAGTGCGATAGTGCAACGTGGGCGACGTGCGGCAGATGGAGGAGACAGTGCTGGAAGTCAACCATAGCTAGGTTAGCGGGTTAGGGAGAAGGTGGCCATGGCTGCAGAGGTGGAACACACCAACACGGGTGTATTGCAGGTAGATCCAAGTACGTGAGAGTGAGAGAGAGCGACAGTGCGCGATACAAGTATTGAGAGCCATAGTTGAGAGAGAGAATGAGAGAGAGAGAGAGTCACACAGGAGGAGAGGGGAGTGGGGTACCTACCTGTTTGGTCGTTGTTGGGTGACGGCTTAGGCCACAGGATATATTCAAACTCTTCCAATTGTATAATTTAATATTTTGGAGTGAAGCTCTTTGTGCTATGATTCGTGTTTCATCTTTTAGCTTTTGCATGAACTCTCTCATCTGAATGTTCTGACCATGCATGTTGGGATTCGGTGTTGAATTGTAGGAGGTTCATTGCAGACTTTTTTACTTCATAAGGTCAATTCCCGACCTCAGCAAAGAATACTGGACTTTTGATCCTCTGTTAGCTGGCTCTCCCGTCATGCTGCTTTTGGTCATCCATTAACGTCTCTCCTTTTGTGAGCTATGGTGGAGAGTGTGAGAGGGGCCAAAGGGCCAGTTGACATCACCATCGCACTACTTGTGGCGCTTTCAATGGCATTGTTCGTGCCAGCATTAAAAACAACAGTGTACACTGTACACAATGTGACTTAGGGCACAACTTTATGTTCTGAATACTTAGCATCCACACTCAGCAGGAATAATGTCAGAGTCTCAGAGAGAGAGTTCTGACCAAACAAGGTATGCCCTAGCGAGCAGAGTCAGCAGACCTTGGAGATCATGGACTTCTCTGCATCGATGGAAGCACTTTTTCCTAGAAGAAGACGTTTTGCAAGATCCTTCTTGTAAAATGCCTCAAACACATCTTTTCCCTGCAAACCAAACACAGAATAAGGGCAGAAATGTCAGAGTTATCAAGTTGTCATGATCAAGACGCTGCAAGCTTACATTTACATGGACTCCATGAGATTGCTCGAAACATGACCAGGACACTTCCAGTTTAACTGTTCGACATACATTCACACGAACTGCATGTGATTTGCTTGAAAGTTGAAACCTCCTTCCCGCTTACTCAACTTTAAGCTTGCCAGCACATGCATGACCCATTAATCACTGTCAGGACACCAAGACTTTCTGGACAATATGATAAAAGAGAGCAATCTCTCTACAGCGCTCAGATTGGTATATCGCAACGAATGCAGCAGGGTGACTTAGCACACAAACAGAGCCTTATTAAGCACCGCTTCCAGTTCCTCCTGGGTGATTTGAGCTTACCTGAATGAATCTGAAGAGCACCAGCACCTTATCAAGCACCGCTTCCAGTTCCTCCTCGGATGTTCCTTTGTTTCCTGCTCGCAGCTTTGCATCAATAAACTTCGCTATCAGCTCTGCTGGGCGATTCTGCACAACAGCCAGCCCACACACGCATACATCAATTGCACAGAAAGACCTGACTCGCAAACCACAAGAAGTTTCAAAGATCCGATCGACACATTCTGGCACGACACATAGCAAGCTGAGGAGAGGGAATTTTTAGATATCCGATCAACACATTCTGGCATGACACATAGCAAGCTGACGAGGGGGCGGAAGGAGATGATACCCATCCAACGTGGCATGTCGTTTTCTTCACCACTTTTCGAAGTGTTCTGGCGTTATGCATCGCGATACGAGGAAGCGGGGAGGGAAGGAGGAAGACAACCAGCCAGCCTGCCATGTAACGGCACCATCAAAACATTTCGCCATTTATCTCATCAAGGAGTTCCGACATTATACATAAGCAATCTGAGAAGTGGGTGAAGGAAGATAACCATCCAACCTGGCACATATGGCAGCATCAACGTGCTCCGGCACAGCATACAGCTGGAAGCCAATTTATCGCATCATCCACAAATCCAGCAAGTCAAAAGGAGAACTTGTGATGCCGTCGAAGATTATGACACCAAATGTGTAAAATCCATCGAGTAGCTGAATCCAGCTGATGGAGGACAAAAAAAAAGGATTGCCATTTCATGTATGTGGAAGAAGGATTGCCATTTCATGTATGTGGAAGAGGGCCAAGATGGCTATCATAAGACACCTGCTCTGCATATACTTGACAGCTCACGTCCCCAGAAAAAAATGGAGATTACAGACAAACAAGAAATACCGACAGAATGTCCTACAGTACATCCGTTAAAATTGGAACGATACAGAGAAGATTAGCATGACCCCTGCGCACAGATGACACGTATAAATCCAGAAATGGTCCAAATTTTCTTAATAAAAAAAAAAGAAATACCGACAGACTGAAGGTGAGAGCCAAACAGAATCCCATATGATGCCACTGACTTTAGCATAGTAATCCACAACAATTTGAGCTGACGGGCACTAACTGGGGCTGAGGGGGCTGACAGAGGGGTCGAACATGCACTGCATTACCTGGCGTAAGTTCACGACATGTTCGAATGCATCTTTGAGAGTATTCGCAAACACTTCTTGGTTCTGGAAACTCTCCTCCCTGATAGTATCCAACCGTGCTTTCAGGTCTAGCAGGTAAGATACCATATCCTTTTCCTTCTCCTCGTCCATAACCAGCTCTTGGCCCATTTGCTTGACATACTGGCTGAAGGCTTGCTTCAACAAGTCCAGTGCATTTACTCTCATGAAAAGTGAGTACATACGTCCCAGGTCTGCAACTCTGTTGGCATCCATCAGTTGACGGAATCCCTGTTAAAGAACCCAGTTTTGCACAGCGTTAGCAGAAATCAAGGCACCATTAGTGAAACAAGGAGGGGGAAAAATTCGCTTAACTTTGTTCCACAAGGAAAAAAAAACGACCTTAGATGAGGAGATGATCTGATCATCTCAACCGAAGCTGAGAACAATTGTGATCTACTGCATTAGGAGGACTAGAGTAGAATAACTTCCAACTGCAAGAAAAAAAAAGTTGGATCTGTGTATTGTGTTCATGAACACAAGCAAACGAGCAAACACAGTTTCGTAGCCAAGTAACTGGCAACTGTTTGAGAACAGCAGGTATGTCAATGCAGGAGATCATAGAGGCAGAAAATCTTCACAGTATAATCCTTCTTCTCAATGCCTTTTACCACTCGATCTTGCTCTCTCTGGCTCTCTCTTTGGTGTAAATTTGACCTCACTCAACTATCTCCAACTCGTCAAACTCTACTCTTCCTTCCAGCTTTCGTAACAGAATCATAGCACTCCCTACCATAAAACAAGTTCGGGGGCTGGCACTCTCAGCATACGGACGAACAACTTACCTTCACCGACAGATACCTCCGTCACTGTTTTCTAGACTTTCTTCACTTCAAAACATGCTCACCCAAAGTGCCTGACCGCTTGATTGACGTCAGATTTGTTATGTCGATCGGAATATGCAAATACTTGTAAGCAAACTTCGACTTTTCGATTCAATCCTCATGTTGAGGGCTGATCCCAGTTTAGGTCCATGCCGGCAGTGGCTTACGCCAGTCCTTTTCCATGCCCACTCCACACATAGGCTGAGATAGCAGGGTTATATGCGTCTTTATTCTCTTCCATCAGTCCCACATAGGCTGAGATAGAAGGGTTATATGCGTCTTTATTCTCTTCCACCAGTCCTTTTCCATGGCGCAGACAATGAACTGGATGGGAATCGCATCTGGAGATGGGTTCTTCAATCCAGTTCTCCCCGGCCCAAAGGTTGTACCCTTGTATGCGATTTTCCCATTAGTTGAATCAGAAGTCCAAGCTGGGTTTACAATTTTGAATTGACTCAGCGTGAAGCCGTTAGCAAAGTAATTTAATTTACTTTATTGAAGTTCATTTAAGACTTCAAATTGACCCTCAGCCAGAAGACGGTGGCATTGCAACTTCACCCTGCATACTCACTCCACACATACAATAACCATTCCACTTAATGCACACCCCATCCTCCTTCCTTTCAAATACATTGATGTGAAAGCAGCGAAACCTTTAACGGCATTAAGAATTCAGGAAGTCCGCAGCCCATACCAACCGTATACGCAAATGAACACTGATCAGAACACCAAATGCTCTCGTGTCAACATTACAGATTCAGAACAAAAGCAGCATTCTTGTAGGCTGCTTTTCCCCGCGTCCCGGCATCCAACTTGTGCCCCGATACACGCCCGGGTGTTCGGCCCGGCATTACCCCGGGCAGGGTTCGGGAATGCCCCAGCGTAAAAAAAAATAAACAAAAAAAAAGTTAAAAAAACCAGATTTTTTTTCGAAAGAATGTTTTTGCAAACGACTTTTGGCTGAGGGTCACATCAGAAAAAAAAAAAAAAAAAACAGAATCACAGTAAGGAACCCCCCCCTTTAAACCCCTTTAGCTCCTTAAAAACCAATTTATACCCCCCCCCCCTTGACAGCCAACAAGCAAGAAAAGAAAAGTGCCCGGATTTGGGCTTCGCCTCGGAGAGTGCGGAAACACCCACACGGAGCTGCTGGGTGCGAAAGCCTTCCTAGGCATTATTCAAAAAAGGAAAAGCCCTACAAAATAAAATAAAAAAGGAAAATCCCAGACATCATATGGATTTAAGCATCGTGAGAGCAAATACATAACGTGTCCCAGGACTCCCAACGGATATATGGATGAAAAGGTTTCTGAGCAGATGTGTCTCCTTACCTTCTCTAGAGTTGCTGCTGTGTGCCGCTCCAGAAGTTGCTTTTCTGCAACTGCAATGAGTGGCTTGCGTGTCGCTAAATCAAGGTACTGCAAACATCGCTCATTTTCTTCATGGAGACGAGTCTGCGATGCGAGATCATCCAACACACATCTTGCCCTGAGGATTCCAGATTCGCAGAGATTGAACAAACATCACCCTGGGCTTAGGCTTGCCACCCATGCTGATCAGTCAAACAGGCAAGAATGAAAGAGGCTTCCAGGGAGACCATAACATAAGCTGCAGGAACTTGACAGCAAGCTGGGCACATTTTTATGGAGTCGCCTAACACAGGAGATAGGGATGATGGACCAAAGGAATGCACTTCATTCAACTAGCTAAGGAAACATACAAAAAAACGTGCTCAGATATCTTCTAAGCAATATTTGTTATAGGGTTCCCTGTTTCTCAGTACACTTATTTCCTACAGCAAGCCATGATAGTAATCTTCTCCTCGCTTCGTCCACAGAAAAAAGTCATTCCCTGCATGAAAGCCATTCCCACATTACCAACCTTTCCTTTATGAGAGTAGGTGACCACCCACTGTTCCAGCTCTCCTTCATCAGAGCCTCTAAACATCACTACGTTCTACCATTAAACCACGAGCACTTGACCCAGCTATTGCCCGCAGAAAAAAATAGAGTAAACGCTTCTAGTCGGGTGAATTTGAGTACGGCTGTAGTGGCCCATACGTTTCTTAAAATTGTGGCCAGTATACGGGCACGACTTTAGGAAGTACTGGTGGTTTAAACGTACTCCCACAATGTTGTAAACGAACAGGACACCCAGTGACCTTTTTATTTGCTTGTAGGATTGTACTCCAAGAACTTTATTTAACTAGGTAGAAGACTCAAGAGTCATTCCAGCACACTTCCCTATTGGTTAGGTATTGCCTGACAAGCAGCAAGTTGTGTGTTCAAATTCTTGGATTGGACATACACCACTGGCCCCAACAATATCAAGGCCTGCCTGGTATTTACACGCAGACCACAGAGAAAGTTGGCCTACCAGCTGCAGGGAGAGGGGGGGGCCGGGCAGTGCGGGAAATGTTGAGTGCACCAGCTTTGATAATTTTTCATGCCCATATACTTTACTGAAACGGTATTCACCAATTCGTGGTAGCTGAGGTAGATCCCAGGGCTCGATCCCTAGTTTCCCAACTTACCTGTG